TTCATCCTTCGTCGAACGCGCCACGTTGCTACTGGACGCGCTTCGATGGATCCTATGGACGAGAGATATTTCCGTGAAGAACGGAGACCCTCCTTCCCCTCCCCCTGCCCGATTCGAGTCGATCAAGGAAAAAGAAGGATGGCGGCGAGGTGTACAAGGACGTTTAATAGAGGGATATCGGCGTAAGGAATAAAAGTTGGGGGTCAAGTCTGTGGAATTCCTACGATGCATTCTCTCATACGGTCGGAGAAGTAGTAGAAGTGGCTTATCTACGATAAGTCGAGGAGATGCTGGTGAAGGGAAGTTTCGCGGACCACCTTCTATTTCTCTCTCTCTCCCTCCCTCCCTCCCTCCCTCTCGTTTCCGTGGTTAAATTCCGAAATTGCAGGACAGATTATTGGCTTGCAAAGTTGGGTGAGACTCCGAGGCCGAGAGGGTGGGCCGAGTAGGCAAAGAACTTTCGACCTCGCGCGTTGTTGCCGGACAAACTCTACTCGTAGGTGCAGCCAACATTAGCCTAACTCCGTGGCAAACTAATCTAACATTCGTCCGAGCTTCCCCCTCCCCCCTTTGCCGCCTACCCTTACTCTTTACTCTCCGACTTCCTTCTCCTTATTGGACTGGCTTTTTCTCTCCTACAAAACTGCCCGTTGTTTTCCAAAGTTTCCAACCTCTTCCTCCTCCTCCTCCTCCTCTCGCGTTCCCTTATATTTCTCGGAAAAGAAACGTAAAAAAAAAAAAAAAGAAAAAAGGAAAAAAAAAAGAAAAAAGGAAAAAAAAAAGAAAGAAGAAAAGACTGGATTCCTAAGCACCGTCATCAACTCTTTCTCCTTTTATACCATTTTTCAACGCTCGTTTTTTCGCTCGTCCCTTTATACAGCTCTTTAAATACAGCGCATGCCTTCCCCCGATTTAATATCGAAAGTTCCATCCAGTACTTTCTTTGGAGAACGTTCAGACTCTGTCCCTTCGCGATATTACATAGAGTCGCGCTACGAAGTCGGCGGAGATTCCGCGCGTGTTGTTTCTCCAACAAACAGAGAGATACTACCGTTTTCGAGAAGGAAGTTCGACAGTTCCCTAACTATTACACAAACGGCGTGCCCCTCGTGTTTGCCGCGCATCGTTCTGGACGTTCTCCAAAACTCTTCCAAACGACCAAAAGGCGAATCGAGACGATCTGTCTTTGTTATTATCATCATCTTTTCTCTCTCTCTTTTTTTTTACGTTTCTTTCTCTCAACGACTATCAACATGTATTAGAAAAGGATATTGTAGGCTGAATCCCGTCGTAGCTGATGTCGTCGGAGTTGCAGTCGTTGGGCCGTTCGTTGCTGTCCATCCTGAGATGTCCGTAATCTGGACTGCCATGCTGGGCAGCCGCCAATAAGGCAGGATGCAATGGCATGTGGGGCAGTGGAGGGGAGTCCCTGACATCTACACCTCCACCCGGAGGACTGGCAGGCAGGTGATGTGGGCCAGGAGGTGGTACCTGGCCTGGGTGACCCGCGTGAGGGTTGAAGAACGGCGAGTACGGCGAGAACACTTGGCTTTCGTGGAGACTGGGGTTTGGTATCGCTACGCTCGTTGGCAGGGACACTGGCAGCATCGGTGGTGGCGGGTGATACGATCTCGGTGGAGGCGGGGGTGGTGGACTCTCGCTGCCTCCTTGCGACCCACCACCTTCCTGCGCCAGGATTCTCGACACCGTCCTCGGCGTCAGCCTCGTGTCCGTCACCTGCGGAGGGAAATACTAATTGATGCATCGATTTTACAATCGTGAAATTCAGTCTCTTAGCCTACTTAAAACTAAACAACTATGTTTATCCCTCGATTTATTTCTTTTCTTTTCTTTTTCGCTTCTCTTTCAAGTGTCGTTTCTTTGTATCAATATATTTTTATTTCCGTGTAAAAGATAGTCTGAATAAATCAAGGGATACGTGTATCACTGACGAATAAATCATTTATATATATAATCACAAATATTGGATACAAAAGTATTCAGTTATTTGAATATTTTGTATATACTTTATTTCGAAATGAAATAACAAATATGATAATTGATAGATTTCTCATTTTATATTTTACATATAAAATATACCAAGCGATCGAAATTCGTATTATTATAATAATTTGTTATAATATATGTTAAACATGAATTTATATATTTTTTGAAATATTCGTCAGTAATACGTATATTTATACACACACAGATATATATATATATAGAATAATTTTTCTGATCAATTTAATCGATCAATACGAATGAGAGATTCGAACTTGTGGTAAACAATGCAACAAGTGAATACGTTTACTACGGAAAAGTCATCTATGGTATTCTTAATATTGTTTGTTTGCATAGAATACAGAAAGATGATAATTACCTTATGGCGTTTCTTTTTCGGTGTCATTACGAGGGAAAGCGCCTCGTTCTGTTCCGAGTCCCTGCTTTCTCTCTCGTCGCCCCTCAAGTTGCAATATTGGTCACGTTGCTGCTGCTCTCTCTGCTGATGCTCTCGTTGCTGTTGATGTTGCTGTTGCTGCTGTTGCTGCTGCGCCTGCATGGAGGCCATGCTATACATGGTTGGCGGTTTCGGTGTCTGGAACATCCTGCCCCTCACGTGCGAGGGCAGTTGATTCATTTGATTAAGATTGTTTTCCGTGGGGCCAGAATGCGGACCATGGGGTCCACCACCCATGGACGCGATTTGCGGGAAACCCGTAGACTGTGGAGGT